TAAAATATATACTGTATATATATATATTTCCAGTTTCCTTCAAAGATCTATTTTTTAAGACCTCTTTTCAATAAGAAATACCCAATTGAAATATCTTTTCTTTTCTAACCATCTGAAAAACTTATCTATTTTTTATTTTGATTCCTTCTTGTATACTATCTGAGAAGGCCTATTATCTAATAGAAGCCTTTATTTTTAGGATATACTTGGTTTTAACCTTTTTTGAATAGTGATTTTTTATCTACCTATAATAGAAAGATAACTTATAATGGATTTCAGGTTCTTATATGACCTAATAGAAACTGGGTCATATTGTCTCAGTATAATACCTTCTAGCAACCATACCTAATTAAAGGAATTTTACTAATATATATTTTCTATTACTTAAAAGATCAGATTTCTCAATAATCCTTTTGCCTTGTAATAGTAAGAGAGTCTTGAAAGTGATAGGAATCTTTATTGATTGCAGTATCTTTTAATAACTTTTGGGAAAATGTATTTTTGACTATAACCAAAGAATTGGAGCTCAATATAGACTAGAAACTGTTCAGACTTATTATTTGACTAGGATAAAAAGGAGACTTTGATCTTGAACTTTGCCTAACTGAAATAATAGGAAAGTAAAACCTTAGCTTGAACAAATAATAACTTTTTCATCACCTGGGAACTTGTTGCTTGTATCTTATTGACCTCATGGAACTTGATCTGTAGATTAACCCAATTGAAAGAGTGAAATAGATATAAGGTACCAATCAACTCTTCAATTATTAATAATATTATTGAAATATATGAGGGAACCAATAAAGACTTGTTTACATTCAGTTACTAATGTGATTTGTGTTAATTAATCAAATACCAAGTGATATTGTGTTACTAGAAATTTAGGGTCAAATTGAGATAAGTGAAATTCTTTAGAAAAATCATAAATAACAGTATATACTTTAAGAGGAAACAAAACAGTATGTGAAAAGGTGGATAATAAGTCTTTCTCTACTGATCAAAACCTTTATTTTCTGTCACTTCAACTCTGTAATGTGACACTTCCCTTGTCAGTCTTTTACTTTCTAGAATCTTCTTCTAAGTCCTTTATTAACTTTTTATAGTTAACATGCCTTTGTATATATTTGATTTACAGAATAAGTAAACTATATACTATATATTATAGTAAGTAATTAGACTATTCTATATATTATGGATCCATAACATTGGACTCTTTTCACTGATTCTCTAATTATATTCAAAAAAGATGTTTGCAAGAAGTTTTTATACTTCTTGATTAATAAAGTCTTAATACTCTTCTTAAATCAACTTGAAGTAATACTTCAAGAGTTATATTCATTTTCTTCTTCCTCTTGTAAATAATCTTCTTTAGACAAAAATATGACTTTCAATGATCAAAGCCATGAAACACCTTTTCTACCAATGGCAAGAAAGTTTTGAAAGGAAGAAAAACTGTAGTGCTGCTATTCAATTATCTATTAAAGAGACAATACAGAGCTTTTCTAATAATGGGAGACTTATCTTGAAGGCAATCACCTACTCTCTTATCATGCTTGAACTCAAAAGTACTCTTTCACAATTTTTTTTGAGGAATTTTGTCTACCTTAATTAGATCCTTAATTTTGAGTAGCACAAAGTTTCTCATGCAGTGATTGGCCAGTAAAAAACATGTCAGTAAAATAATATAAACAAGCTTCTATTGGTTACATCACATATCTGAATATATTTTTTTAGTATCTATAAGAACCTGGAATTCACTATAAGTTGCATATCAATTCTATGGATAGACACAGAATATGAAAATCATGATATCACTAGTTACACAGAAAGAATAAGACTGAATTAAACTATATTGAATAGATAACAACCCTGACTTTCTTACTTCTTCTCCAGCAAACATAGCCGGTATATTCAAGACCAGTATTTTTTTGGAGGGTTTTAATACTCACATTTGCTCATTGAAACCATCTTTAATAACCAGCTAAACAATATTATATCTCTCTAGACAAGACTCAACTCGAACACAATATTTTTTTTTTAAAAAAATTTTTTTGATTAAGTGCTAGTGAAGTTAAGGCTCTATATGGGTAGTCCTCAACATTGGTAATACTAGATACTTCAAATAAATCCTTAGTATATTTGTCTCTCTTTTTGATGTAGCAATAAGCCACTCAGTGTACTAGCCAATAGTCACACTCTAGGGAGTGTCAAGGTGTAAAATAGAAAATTAACATAGTGTATTTTCATACTTTCTATTTTTTCGTGATTTGTTTTTGTAAGTAGATATCTATACTAGACAGTTATTTAACTATCTTATCTTGATTAGGTAAAATATAAATAAGTAGCTCTTTATACTATTCATTGATCTGTAAATCCTTAGACAATACAGACAGTTATTCATTCTGGTTGTTTTTAAATCTCTTGTTTATTCAAATAAATCTCACTCACCTTGACATATAAATAAACTAGTATTTAAAATATATATATATATATATTTCAAAATTTTTTAAATCACTTTCAGAAAACTTCTCATATCTATTAATAATATATATTTTGTTCTATTCTTAATAAATTATTGGTAATTTTTTAATATTTGCATTTTATATATTTTCATACCATATATTATCTATTATAAAAATCATAACTTTTATTAAATTTTTATATTTATCTGTAATTAATCTTGCATTGGATTAAATACTATATAAAAAATTTTTTAATCTCATAAATCTTGAAATTGTTAAAGTCTTTAGCAATAAACTTATTGTAAGCAATAATAATATCTAAATTTGGTCTTAAAAACAATATTTTATTTCATAATAGTTTTTGAATAAATATCCTCCTAGTTTACTACTTTATCATTAATAATTTATTACTACTGAATATCTTATTCAGCTATTAAAATATAGAAAACTACAAAAAAAAAAGTGTTATTAAAAGAAAAAAAAATATCTAAAAATATTCAAATGAATTACAAAAAAAATAAAATTCTCCAGTTTTCTTTAAAGACCTACTTTTCAAGACTGCTTCTCAATAAAAAATGCCTTATTAGAATATTTTTTTTTTCAATCATTTGAGAAACTTATTCATTCTTAATCTTTATTTCTTTTTTATATACTATTTGAGAAAACTTATTATCTAATAAAGTTCTTTATTTTCAATAATACAGCAATGATTTTTTATTTACTTGTGATAAAGAGGTAACTTATGATAGATTCCAAGTTTTTATAGGACTCAATAAAAATTGAGCTATATTGATTTAGTATAACATTTTTTAGTAGTCATATTTAGTTAAAAAAATTTTACTGATAAACATCTTTTATTATTCAAAAAATCAGATTTCTTAATAATCTTTTTGCTTTATAATAGTAGAAAAATATTATAGTATTAAAATTATCATAAATTACAATATTTTTTAATAATTATTAGAAAAATATATTCACAACTGTAATGAAAGTATTAAAGTTTAGTATGAATTAGAGACTATTCAATCTTATTATTTAATTAGAATAAGAAAGAGATCTTAATCTTGAACTTTGCTTTTTTAGAATAATAAGAGGGAAAGATTTCAACTTGAATAAATAGTAGCTTTTTTATTATCTAGAAACTTATTATTCATATCTTATTGATCTTATAAAACTTGATTTATAGATTAACTCAATTAAAGAAGTAAGGTAGAAATAAAACATCAATTAATTTTTTTTATTATTAATAACTTATCAAAATATATAAAATGATCAGTAAATAATGATAAATTTTTAAAGTATTTAATATATAAAATTTTGTAGATTACTTATGATCCTTTTTGAAAAATAAAATTTATAGTTCTTTACTTTAATTGAAATAAAAGTTAGAAAATATTATAAATTAATGAATTGAATAATGGAAAACAATTGTGAATAATTTTTTTATTAGTTATTAATTTAAAAATTTTAATGTTTTCTAGTGAAAAACCTTTAAATTTTATTCTTGCTTCTCTCTTTAGGAACTTATTTTTATCAGTAGATACTTATGGTACTTATATTTGATTATTAATGTGTTTTATATTTATAAATCATATTTTGTAATTGATTGTATTATTTAAAATTTAGAATAAATTGAGATAGGTAAAATTTTTCAGAAAATTAAAAAATTATGTGACTATAAGAAGAAAAAAACAATGGGCAAATATTTTAAATATGGTTTGATATTATTATCTTCTACCATACAAAACTTTTATGGATTTGTTTTAATATAAAGATTTTGAATACTATATTATTAATTCTCATTTCTTGCAAAACTTTCTTTTTATAAATAGAAAATATATTTCTTGACTTTTTTAAATTATAGGTAATGATGGATTCTTAAAGTATTTAGCATATAAAATTTCACAGATTACCTATATCTCTTTTGAGGAACAAAATTCATAGCTCTTTATTTTAATAAGGACAAAAGTCAAGAAATTTTATAAATCAATGATTTAGATAATAGAAAACAAAAGTATATAGTTTTTTTATAATTATTTATTTAAAAATTTTAATGTTTTTTAGTGAGAAATATTTGATTTTTATTATTGCCTCCTTCTTTAGGAACCCATCTTTAATTATAGGAAATCAAGTTTTTGTTTAAAGATAAATACAAATAAAAGAAGAAGTTTAAGAATATCTTTTGAAATAAAATTTTAAGTTGATTTAAAGATAGTATTAAGACTTTATTAGTAAGAAAATAAAAAATTTCTTGCAAATATCTTTTTTATATATATGTAAAGAATAAACGAAAAGAGTTTTTTATTTATATATCTATTAATTTTAAAAAATTTTAATTTTAATATGATATCTATATAAAATTTTAATTATTTAATTTAATTTATGATTAATAAAAAAATTTTGCTAATAATTTCTATATTTTAAAAAATATAAATAAAATATCCTATGCGCATACAGAAAAGATCTACGCTATATATTTAGACCAATTAGGTTTTATGTAGCAATGCTTATTAGATCCTGTATTTGGGTGCGAATCTTATGTGCTGTACGATGTTTCCTTTTAGTAATCAAAATGCAAAAAAGAAAACAATTGCCGAAAAAGCGCGGGAAGAACGTGAACAACGAGAAAATCAACGCATTAAGCAAAAGAAGGATCAGATAAAGTCGCAGGCTGCTGTAATAATACAATCTGCTTATCGAAAACATGATTATAAGAAAAAAGAAAAAAACCAATTGCGAATATTGTGGGATACTGACTCTGGATTCGATTTAAATAATACTAGCTCGAATCAATCTGCTACAACATCCTCGATAGAGATTCTTGGGCTTGCGTATCTACTTTTCGCTTTTTTCAATTCAGATGATCCAACCGACAAAATCAGATTTTCTCATCTCTGCAAAATAATTTTATTCACCACATCCTCTTCTACAACAGCAGCAAAGCAGAGTGCTCAGCAAAGGGTAGCACCATTTCACTTGTTGTTACTAAGTAAAAGTTACGCGGTACCGACTCAGAATATGATGAAAAAGATTCTTTGGCAATGTGTCGTTAGTGCAGCCGGAAATTCTCTTGATAATGCTGGCGTATCTTCAGTCACCTCTAAATCCACTTTATACTTATCCGGATCAGAGTTGAGGTTTCTAATTTATTTTCTTGATCCTAAAAGTTATATTATCAAAGGAGCGTCCTCAAATTCTACCTCTTGGAATCAGCACTTATTAACCTTTCATAATTATATAGTGGATAGAGGTTTTTATGAACGGATTGGGTGTGGGACGGTTCTCAGAGTAAATTCGATATTGTCTTTCAGATCGAGGGCGGCAAAAATCAAATTGGCCACTGATGATGAGAAAAAGTTGAAATTAACGCAAATGTGGCTGGCGGCATGCCTCCGATGTTGCTTGTTCGTATTGAACTTTAGGGACGATGGTGGAGAATCTTTCCAAAAGTCGGTTCCTTTAAATAAGTTTATCAGCAAAGTCCTATCGATACCATGTATGTCGTCATGTTTTGATGACACTTGCATGAGCATGATCAAGCAAAGCAATGTCACATCAAGTGCTATTCACGCGTTATGCGATTCGGAAAGCTCGAATCAAATATTAAATTCTATGAGCGGGAATGACACGATATTCCTGATGGGAAACATAACAGAATTAATGTTAAAATTAGACGTCGTATCCCTTCACAAGGAGGTGATTGAAGTAGAGAAAAAAAGGACGGGGTTGGTTATTCCTTTGTCAAATTCAGCAAAGAGTGATAAGAATGATTCAACTGTTCGATCAGATACTTTAATAAAATTTCGGGACTTCATCCAGTCTGTCCTAAACTTGCTATATCACTGTCAAAAATTTGTATCCACAAAGCAGTCGAACATTCATTACCAATATCACCCGATTTTTATGTGGTACTCGGGAAGGATTGATCCGAATATTCCAGCATCACATTTCAATAGATTAATCAATCAGCTTGAATTCCTCTGGCAGAGGCAACTCTTGGTTGTTGCGTTCGATCACATTTTGAACTTTAGGTTAACGCCTCATGATAATGACTATGCAGGTTCCGGCTCTTCAACATTGCAAAAATCAAATTTTATGGACAAGAAATTCAGCCTGACATCTAGTCAGACAACTTTGTTGGCAGTCGATACACAAATGCTATGTAAAATATATGTCATGCTTTCAACTCTACTAGGAGCTCAGAAGCACGATATCATAATGAACTTAACTTTTTTGCCAGGTTTTGTGCCTAGTCTTTGGAGATTTTTGATGTGTCTTGGTCCTAAAGGTAGAATGAAGATATTCTTGGCAGATCCGGTGGTCAGAGAACCGGAAAAGGAGCCATTAATTGAGATACTGAGTTTATTCTGCGAGTGTTGCGACATATTATTATTGTTAGTATTAAATAATGTAATGTAATAATAATCCCACTAAGTGCCAAATATTAGCCTAACACAAGTTGTTTGTTATTGTCTCTGCATAACGATTTCACAGGACTTTAGATGATGAGGAGTTGTATGAAATGCAAACGCCCTTCACAATCGAAAATGATTTGATTCCTATGGCCACTTTCTTCAATAAATTTTGCTTCGCGCTCCTCAGTAATTCGTCACCTGACAAGTGTCCTCCCGCTATATTTGAATCCGCGCGGAGAGTTCTGATGCAGCTGCATTCTCGTGATACCCGGCGTTCATTCACTCGACCAGACAGTACATGGTTGCTCATAAAAGATCCCAAGAAATCCTTGCCCTTGTCATTCGCAAATTTTTTAAAGAAATCTACCTCAAAAAATAGTCACAATAACACATTAGGAACTTCTTTTTTGGAAAGAGTTCGTGTCAATGACGTTATCTCCCTTAGGATTTTAAATCTGTTACCTCACACGATTCCCTTTGAAACTAGGCTGGAAATATTTCGTGGGTATTTGCAAAATAGCATTGCGTCTAACAACGAAACTTTCATCACTGTCAGAAGAAACTATGTGTTGGAGGATGGGTATAGGTATTTGGGTGGATTGACGGCAATGCGTACGAAAGGTATAATTCGGGTGAAATTCATCAACGAAACAGGTATAAACATGCATTTAGCGTACAAATACACATTAAAAGAAGGAGCAAATCATGTTTGAAGATTCTGAAATCGAAATTCATTCTTTTTTATTAGGAATGGATGAGGCTGGTATTGATCAGGGTGGTCCTTTTAAAGAATTCATTACGCAATTGATTACTGAAGGTAAATCAAGTATAGCTCATCTCAGAGATACATATCTGATTATGAAAGATTTCACAATATTACCCAATTTTAGCGTTTGATCCGAAGCATGACCTATTTTCTTTTACTCCGGAAAATTCTATATATCCGAACCCTCATGGAACATCCACAAAGCTATCATTATACTCGTTCTTAGGACGGATGATTGCGAGGGCTGTTCAAGAAGGAATTTTATGTGATGTTCAATTTGCCGAGTTCTTCTTAAGCAAGTTGTCCGGAAGAGCGGTGTTTCTGGAAGATCTGGTTGGATTAAATAATGAATTATGGAAGAATATGATGTTCTTGAAGAGATATGATGGTTTGTGAATTTCTTTAGATCATGGATTTCCTATTTTATGAAGGATCGCGTTCATCTAGCGTATTCGTAGGCAACGTGGAAGATCTCGGACTATATTTCTCTATCGATGAAGAAATCAACGGACAAATTACATCCAAGGAGCTTAAGCCGGTTGTTATCACAATTTTTTTGCAATTTTACCTTAATTTGCGTGGTTAATTTTTTTTTTTTTTTCACTCCAGGGTGGTTCACATATGATAGTAACAAATGAAAATAGAATTCAGGTCTGTCTCACTACAATTAATATGGACTCTTGTTATAACAACCGTGCATAATTAAAATGATTATTTTTATAAAGTATTTGTATTTTATGGCGGACTATCGGTTAAATAAACAAAATAAGGAACAAACAAAAGCATTTATAGACGGGTATGTTTTGCGCCTAATTGCCTATTATCATTTTCCAGGTGTGCACCGCATAACTTCATGCCGACGTGTTTTTAGGTTTCAATCCATAATTCCAGAAAATTGGCTGAGGATGTTTTCTCCACCAGAGTTACAGAGGTTATTTTTATTCTTAGACCAATTATTGAATTAAATATTATAAATCATGAACTTATTGTATTAATTAGAGTGATATCAGGTGAAGATGTTGATTGGGGTGTGTTAAAGTGTTATTGGCTAGTTGATAATTTAATTCTTTTTCAGGATTTACTAAATCCATTCCATTTGATCTTGTAGATCCGTCTGATTTGCGTAAATACTCTGTATATCAAGATGGATATTTCGACCAACACAGATGTATCAAAAATCTTTGGTCAATATTGGAAGAGTTTGATTCAAAGGATAAAAGAGCATTTCTGAAATTTGTCACTGGGTGCTCAAAGGTAGATCCCTTCACATTAAACTTGCTCTTACCTTTGTTTGCATATTAATTACTTCTTATAATTTAGCCGCCGCTTGGGGGCTTCAAGTAAGTCAGAAGGTGGTAACAAATTTCATCCGGTCTCGTAATAAAGATACCGTTTATCTTAATAGATATTTGCAGCCGCAATTCACCGTCCGCCTGGTGTCATCCGACCAAGAGCAAGGTCCTGAGCCCAGACTTGTGCTTGAACCAGTTAAAGCCTTCTTCAATATTGGCAATTCTAGGTCATCGAAAGGAAGGCTTCCAACAAGCTCTACCTGGTAAGAATATTTTTTTAAAAAAAAAAAGATTCCATCTGGAGTATAATAATCAATCTTTTTTTTTTTTTTTTTTTTTTTTTTTTTTTTTTTTTTTTGGATGCCAGTTTTAACCTCTTGAAGCTTCCGGGTAATTTATTTGATGCTTTATAGTTTATACATTCAATTCGCCAATCCATTCTAATTGCTATCATAACTACCCTTCTGAAAATAATAACATTGTAGCTTATTCCTCAAAATCAATCATGAAAGAAAAGTTGAAATATGGCGAGTGTGCTTTCTTTTTCTTCCGTTTTTTAAATTTTATGAAAATGTGATGCAATACTTACTATATATATTTATTATTTATAGCTATCCATTCAAATACAGGATTCGAACTTACATAATTTTCCTTTGTAATTATCTTTCCAAACTTTTATATTATGAATTTTTTGTTAGTAATAATTATTTCCTATCAAATTTAGACTTTTTTTTTTTTGAATTTTGGCGATTAATTTTTTTTAGAATTTCCAAAATCGTTCAACTCGGCTTGTCCGTGTTACATTGTTGCTTATCAAATGAACAAAGTTGACGGTAATTGGGAGTCCATCGTTAATATCGAAGTACAGGTCTAAAGAGTTTTCTATTAAAAATAGATAATATAGTCATATTTACGAAATTGCTATATATAAATTATACATGTGGTAGAATTGTTGATCTTACATAATTTTATCTTTTAAAATTTAATTTTATTATACAGTATATATAGTTGAATATATATACAGTATATAATATAAAATATAAAATATATAACAAGTATTCTTAAATAACAAAAGCTTTATTAAAAAGATCCAAAAATAAGAAATTGATATATTTAATTTATAAAATTAAACTTATATTTATAAATAACAAACAACTCTTTTTGCTAATTCTCTGATCACACACAAAAAAGATGTTTGCAAGAAATTTTTATATTTCTTAACTAATAAAGTCTTACTACTTTCTTTAAATCAACTTGAAATAATACTTCAAAAGCCATTTCTATCTTCCCTTTTCTCTTTTAAACATTTTCTTCAAACAAAAACATGACTTTCAGTGACTAAAGTCATGAATGCACTTTTTCTACCAATAGTAAGAAAGTTTTGAAAGGAAGAAAAACAGAAGTGTTTCTACCTATTCATCTACTAGAGAAATATCACAGAGCTTTTCTGATGATGAGAGACTTATCTTGAAAGCAACCATCCATTCTCTTGTCATGTGCTTGCTCTAAGGGTACTCTTTCTCAATTTTGTTTGGAGAATTTTACCTATCTCAATTTTATTTTGAATTTTAAGTAGCACAATGTTTCTTATACAGTGATTGATTGATAGAAAACATGTTAGTAAAAAAATATAAACAAGCCTTGTTGATCCCTTTACATGTTTAAATATATTTTCTTAACTTCATAAGAACCTAAAGTTCACTATAAAACATTAGGATATAATGCAGATGAATATTCTATATAATACAGTCTCTCTTACATCAGTACCTCAATCAAAAAAGAATTCCAACAATACATTATATGAATTTATCAAATAAAACTATATCTATAACAAAACTCAAGGGTATATAGAAAAAGAATAATACCTAAGAAGTATCACACCTATATTTTAAAAGTATTAAATTAATAGGTTAGGAAATTTATTATTTATATCAATCAAAAGGTAGAACCAATATACAGTCTGAAGAAAAAAAAACTATGGCTCAATCTCTCAAGATAATAGTACTCTAAAAAAAACAGAATAATATCTATCAAATCCAATAAAGCACAAGTCAAACATATCAAGACTTTCTTTTCTATAATAAAACTGTTGTAATAGTAAAAAAGGATAGATTATTAAATAATAGATTTCTTCCTTTCCAGTACTTATACAACCTAAGAAAAGAAATTCTGACAGCATCATATAGCTATTTCTTCCCTATATTCTAGAACTCCTCTTGCAACTCTTGACTTATTATTATCTGGAAGAACATCAACAGAGATCTCATATTAGATAAAATAAAATAAAAATCAAAAGAAAAAATCAGAACTGGGAAACAAAAAATCATAATATGGTTATATTGAAAGCAGCTAAAAAAGAAGTATTATAATCTAAACTAATGACACCCTTAAAGAGTAGCCAGCTGATGATATAAAAGTGATAGTAGTAGTGTAGCTTTCAAATCACTCTATATTAAGATCAATTCTCCTTTCTTACTAATGCCTTCTTTGTTATATACAAAGTTTTCTCTCCTATTTAATCTTGTATAGTTCTGTTTATAGTTATAATCTATCCTGAAAGATAGAATTATAGTAATTGGATAGATAGTATAATCATCAGATTAAAATCTGAGAAATATATTGATATGAATATACACACTATACATTTTTTTTTTATTTTTCTTATATTAGTAGATCCCTTTATTAGCCCATTTGCCCCAAAAAAGGATGATACTGTCACAAAATAGATCTGTTCTTATTAAAGTTTTACTTGAAAAACAGAAATAGTTTATCTATATTATATATATAATATTTACTATATTCAAATAAAAC